ACAAACATGTTGAGAGTTTCAACTCAATATGGTAGATATATACATAAACAAGGGGGCCATAATGGCCCTGCAATCGCTCACCTGAATATAAAAGCTCTCTGTGAGCAAGAATAATTTTGATCCCACGGCTTTTTTTTACAACAAACTTGGTAGACACCCATATGCTTAATATCTAATCTCTTGCTCTTTGGGTTTTTTTAAAAGCCAATTTTGACCCCAGGGCTTTTATTTGAACAAACTTGGTAGATACTCACTAGAACAGGTTTCATGCCTTATATCTAAGCTCTAGCTCGTTCGTTTTTTTAAGAGATGATTTTTTCAGTTTTTACTACAAACATATAAGGAAATCAATGACCCTCCGAGACTGGCTAATTTTAACCCCAGGGCTTTTATTTCAACAAATTTGGTAGACACCCACTAGAAGATGTTTCATGCCAAATATCAAAGCTCTAGCTCATTGGGTTTTTTGAAAGAAGATTTTTTAAGTTTTTACTATATTCATACAAGGAAAACCAATGATCCCCCTGGAGCAGGGCAAATTTTGTTTTTTTTTAAAGAAGATTTTTTAAGTTTTTTCTTTTGGTTGCAAGGGCAACCAGAGTTCTGCATGGAATTAAATTCTTTGAACAATTTTCAAGGTGACCACCAAAGGAACATTGCTGTAAAGTTTGGATGAAATTTGCTAGGCGGTTTATGAGGAGATGGATGTCGCGCTTTAAAGTAAATGTTAACATACAACAGATGGACAGAGGAAAAGAAATCACAAAAGCTCACTTTGTCACTTTGACAGGTGAGCTAAAAACAAAAATATTGCTTCAGGTAAGTTTCTCTCTGACCCTGCACATTTATCAGCGTATTTTTTTAATACATCAATTAATAGTCAGTGAGAGCAAAAGTGTATAAATCTATTTTAAGCACCGGTGACCTTGACTAAAAAAAACAACAAAAAAAACAACAAGCAATTATCATAGTATTGCAAGCAATCCATAAGTCCCCTACCGGTTAGAACCCCAGCAACATTCTGAAAGGCCATTGGCCATTCACTTATGTCTCTATTTTAAGTAAATTTGTTGAAAAAGTTCTTTTAAAGTGATCACAGGAAACAGTTTTTATGTACAGACAGACAGATGGAATGAAGGACACTCTTAAAGTTATTTTTTTTTAAATATAACATTTTTAAAAGCAAAATTCTTAAAAAGGAGATAACTCTTGAAATAAAGATGCAAGACGTCATACACGATGTGTTGATAATGAATGTTTATACAAAAAAAAGAACAAGAGGGCCATGATGGCCCTGAGGTCGCTCACCTGTATATAGCCCCCCCCCCCCCCCGGGCCAATTTTTACCCAAAGGCTTTTATTTGTTTATTTGAACAGACTTGGTAGACACCCATAAGAAGATGTTTCATGCTAAACATCTAAGTTCTAGCTCATTGGGTTTTTTAAAAGAAGATTTTTTAAGTTTTCACTATACACATATAGTTAAAACAATGACACCCCTGGGGCAGGGCCAGTTTTGACCCCCGGGCTTTTATTTTAACAAACTTTGTAGATATTTACTAAAAGATGTTGCATGCTTAATATCTAAACTCTAGCTATTTGGGTTTTTTCAAAGAAGATTTTTAAGTTTTTGCTATACATAAAAAAGGAAAATCAATGACCCCCGGGGCAGGGCCAATTTTGACCCCGGGGCTTTTATTTGAACAAACTTTGTACACACTGATTAGAAGATGTTTCATGTTTAATATCTAAACTATAGCTATATGGGTTTTTTCAAAGAAGATTTTTAAGTTTTTGCCATACACATATAAGGAAAATCAATGACCCCCCGGGCGGGGCCAATTTTGACCCCAGGGCTTTTATTTGAACAAATTTGGTAGACACCCATTAGAACATGTTTCATGCTAAATATCTTAGCTCTAGCTCTTTGGGTTCTTTAAAAGAAGATTTTTTAAGTTTTTACTATATGCATATAGGGAAAATCAATGACCCCCTGGGGCGGGGCCAATTTTGACCCCAGGGCTTTTATTTTAACAAACTTGGTAGACACTCACTAGAAGATGTTTCATGCCAAATATCTTAGCTCTAGCTCTTTGGGTTCTTTAAAAGAAGATTTTTTAAGTTTTTACTATATGCATATAGGGAAAATCTATGACCCCCTGGGGCGGGGCCAATTTTGACCCCAGGGCTTTTATTTGAACAAACTTGGTAGACACTCACTAGAAGATGTTTCATGCCAAATATCTTAGCTCTAGCTCTTTGGGTTCTTTAAAAGAAGAATTTTTAAGTTTTTACTATATGCATATAGGGAAAATCAATGACCCCCTGGGGCGGGGCCAATTTTGACCCCAGGGCATTTATTTGAACAAACTTGGTAGACACTCACTAGAAGATGTTTCATGCCAAATATCTAAGCTCTAGCGCTTAGGGTTGTTTAAAAGAAGATATTTAAAGATTTTTCTTTCGGTTGCCATGGCAACCAGAGTTCTGCATGGAATTAAATTCTTTGAACAATTTTTAAGGTGACCACCAAAGGAACATTCCTGTGAAGTTTGGATGAAATTGGCTTAGTGGTTTATGAGGAGATGTCATTTAAAGTAAAAGTTTACGGACGGACGGACGACGGACGGACGCCTGACGAAAAGCGATCACAAAAGCTCACCCTGTCACTTTGTGACAGGTGAGCTAAAAAAAGAAAGAAAAAAAATTTCATGAAAAGTTCAAGGGAGGAAATTCTGATAAATTTTGTGCTAGAGTTGTAAGCCTTGTCACATATGATGTGTTTGCTGACTAGAAACTTATATTTAAAGTTTGAAGAAAATACCTTAAGAAATAAAGAACTTATAGTGAAAAAACGTTAAAAACTAGAATCAGAAATCTTGAAATTCAGTCTATTTGTTGCCATAGCAACCAGAATTTTCAACATAGGAAGAAAAGAAAAGGATGTGCATAATTTCCAGACTGCAATCTACCCATATTTCAAGTTTCATAAAAATATTTTCAGTACTTTTTGCATTATCACTGGATCCAGGTTATGTGTAAAATTTGCCATATTTTCAGTCTATTTGTTGCCATAGCAACCAGAATTTTCAACATAGGAAGAAAAGAAAAAGACATGCATAATCTCCATACTGCCATCTATCCATATATCAAGTTTCATAAATATATTTTCAGTACTTTTTGCTTTATCACTGGATCCAGGTTATGTGTAAAATTTGCCATATTTTCAGTCTATTTGTTGCCATAGCAACCTTATTTTTCAACATGGGAAAGAAAGAAAAAGACGTGCATAATCTACATACTGCCATCTATCCATATATCAAGTTTCATAAAAATATTTTCAGTACTTTTTGCGTTTTGTGGACGGACGGACTGACGGACAGAGGGTAAACCTAAAGTCCCCTCCGTTAAACCGGTAGGGGACTAAAGACTAAAAAAGGACAACCTAAGGTATCTTTCTACCAAATGTGAAGAGAATCAGTCAATAAACAAGAGCCACTGTGGGGCAGGGGCAATGCTCAACTTTTTCAATAAACAAGAGCCACTGCCAGGCAGGGGCAACGCTCAACTTTTTCTAAAAGCAAATAAAAAACAACTTAAATTATGTTTTTTTTTCTTTCTTTTTAAATTTTTATATTAGGTCTGCCTAGTCACACTTCTTGTTTTGTCCATGTGTGAATTATTTCCATACATAAATTACAAAGTTAAGAAAATGTAAGCAGAATTCATTCATTTGACGCTCAAAGTCATTTAAATGTCAAGATCATATCTAAATCATTCAACATGTACGTTGGTCACTAGTATTGTTTTGTCCATGTATAAATCAAATCTGTACATAAATAACAAAAATTATGAGAACCTAATTCAATAATTTGACATGATGGTAAAGGTCATTAAAAGGTCAAGGTCAGTTCAACCTTTCAGAAGGTCTTATCCAAAAAGTTATTTTATCCAAGTATGAAGATAATCCATTGATTAATTACCAAGTTACAGTCAATTATAGCAATTATGAGTGAAAATTTTATAATTTTCAAGGTCATACATGAGTCAAGGTCCATTTTCGTTTAATATACATCAAGGTCCTCCTGACCTTACAGATGTTGTGTCTAAATATGGAGTTAATCCATTTTTAAATAAAGTTCTAGCCAGTAACAGAAAAAAAAAGAATTTCATTAATTTGACCTTGGTGCTCAAGGTCAATTAAAAGTCATGGTCACATCTCAATTATGTAATATGTTGTTTGGTAAAAAATCTTGTTTTGTCTAAATATAAATCAAATCCATACATAAATCACAAAATTATGAGAATTTAACCAAAATTCAAAAATAATTTTCTAGGTCGTTTCCAAGTCAAGGTTAAGTCAACCATTTAGGTCATGTCAAAAAGGTTGATTTGTCCACGTATGAAGATAATCCATTCCTTAATTACCAAGTTTCAGTCAATTATAGCAATTACAGTGAAAATTCAATAATTTAACCTTCAAAGTCAAGGTTATAAATGCGCCAAGATCAATTTGATATACATAAATGTCTTATCCTAAAGAATTTTGTGTCTTAATATGAAGTCAATCCATTAATTAATAACAAAGTCATAGCCAGTTACAGCAAAAAAATGAAAATTTCAATAATTTGACATTTAAGGTCAAGGTCATGTATAAGTGAAGGTCAAAGTTTGTCTGGTAAACTTAAAGGTCTATCCTAAAAGATTGTTGTGTTCAAGTTTGAAGACAGTCCATTAAGAAGTAACAGTTATAGCAACTTATAGCAAAAATCAAGCAAAATGAAGACATTTGACTTTGAAGGTCAAGGTCATTTACGAATAAAGGTCAAGTTTTGTCTGGTCTTCTCTAAGATCTTGTCCTAAGGGTTGTTGTGGCCAAGTATGAAGACAATACACCAAGAACCTAAAAAGTTATGATCAAGGTTAAAGTTTGTGGACGGCAACAGGAATGCCACCATGACTGTAACAATAACAATACCTATACTTTTTTCTTTGAAAAAAAAAAAAAAAAAAAGATCTAAAAATGTGTACATAGGACACTCATGCCCCTTCTTCATTTCTGTCATAGTGACATATATACATATGAATATTTTTATAAAAGTAAAGTTTTATATATATATATATACAAAATATATTAAACATTTAGCATTATAACTTTTAAGTTTCACAAATCTTTGATCATTCTTGATGAGAAAAGTATTTAATTTATGACCTTGAGCTAATGACCTCAAATAAAAAGGGTTCTGTCATCATCTAGTTATGACATGACCAATCTCATGACCAAATATATAGCTGTAGGCCAAAGCTTTTTCTAGTTATTTCTAGTTATTTTTGATTAAGCTTTCAGTGGACAAAGCAAAGCTGACATTGACCTTTGAGCTAATGACCTCAAAATCAGTAGAGCCATATTCTAGTCCAACCTCCACGTGATATATGTGGACTGTAGGCCAAAGGGTTTTTCCAGTGATTCATTGGATAAGCCTTTAGTGGCCAGGGCCAGAGTGACTGATCTATGACCTTAAAATCAAAAGGGGCCATCAACAAAATCTTTGCAAATCTTTATGGAATGAACACATGATTTAGTGCTGTGTCATCTGAGTGTATGCAGACAGACAGACAGACAGAAAGGTGGTGACTATATGCTCTCTCTTCCAGGAACATTAGACTAATGTATACATTAATACTGGCATACCCAACTTCTTAAACTTCAACAAATCACAACAATGTGTCATCAAACAGTTACAACCTGCACTATCTTAACATAGTAGACAATGATATAAGATGTTTTTTTAACATAAAAAAATTGATGACAAATCTTTAACAGCACAAACATAACAATGTGATTTGGTGAACACAAATGGTAAATGAAGTCTTCCGGAGATTTTCAATGCTTATCATTGTAAGACGAAGTCATCGCATCTGTTCTAGATTCATCATTTTCAGATTCATCATCATGTGACCTTCTTTCTTGTTCCTCCCAATATTTCCTGCTATGGTTCAATACATATGCCTCACCTGAAACAATACAAAAAACATTCCACTTATACAAAATGTGAGATAACTCCTAAATAACTTGAGCGTTATCTTAACAATGTTTACTTCGCCATAAAGGTCAGATATCCCTAATATCTAACAATAATACTGTAATATAAATTTTGGGTAGACTGAAAAAACTAGAATTGCCACTGTTATGGTGTGAATACCCCCGCCTACCACAGTGGCCATTTAGAGCCCAAGAACAACCTGGCCCTGCAAAATCTCAGGTTACTAAGCCAGTGCATTGCTAAGTTATGTATTCTACATGCTTCAAATGTGAAAATGTAAAAATCAATACACTGCGGACAGCATTCTTCAGCATTTGAGCAGACAAGCTTATTTTAGTAAAATCCATGTGACCTTGACCTTTGACACAGTCACCTAAAAATCAAAAGAAGTCATCTACTAGTCATAAACAACCTCAATACCAAATATAAAGACTTCTTAAGCAATTGAGAGGACAAGCTCTTTTTAGTCAAGGCCCCTGTGACCTTGACCTTTGACCCAGTGATTACAAAATCAATAGGGGTCACCTTATGGTCATGATAAACCTCCATGCAAAATATGGGTTAAAGGATTCTTAAGTTATTGGATAGACAAGCTTTTTGAAGTCAAGGCCCCTGTGACCTTGACCTTTGACCTCAAATCAATAGGGGTTCTCTACTAATCGTGACTAACCTCCATGCCAAATATGAAGACTGTGGGTCAAACTATTCTTAAGTTATTGGGCGGACAAGCTTTTTGAAGTCAAGGCACCTGGGACCTTGACCTTTGACCTCAAAATCAATAAGGGTCATCTACTAATCTTGACTAACCTCCATAACAAATAAGAAGACTGTGGGTCAAAGGATTCTAAAGTTATTGGGCGGACAAGCTTTTTGAAGTCAAGGCACCTGGGACCTTGACCTTTGACCTCAAAATCAATAGGGGTCATGTAATAATCGTGGCTAACCTCCATGCCAAATATGAAGACTGTGGGTCAAAGGATTCTTAAGTTATTGGGCGGACAAGCTTTTGAAGTTAAGGCCCATGTGACCTTGACCTTTGACCTGGTGACTTCAAAATCAATAGGGTTCATCTACTAATCATGACTAACCTCCATGCCAAATATGAAGACTGTGGGCCATAGGATTTTAAAGTTATTGGGCAGACAAGCTTTTTGAAGTCAAGGCCCCTGTAGCCTTGACCTTTGACCTGGTGACCTCAAAATCAATAGGGGTCTTCTTCTAATCTTGACTAACCTCCATGCCAAATATGAAGAGTGTGGGTCAAAGGATTCTTAAGTTATTGGGCGGGCAAGCTTTTTGAAGTCAAGGTCCCTGTGACCTTGACTTTTGACCTGGTGACTTCAAAATCAATAGGGGTCATGTACTAATCGTGACTAACCCCCATGCCAAATATGAAGACTGTGGGTCAAAGGATTCTTAAGTTATTGGGCGGACAAGCTTTTTGAAGTCAAGGCACCTGGGACCTTGACCTTTGACCTCAAAATCAATAGGGGTCATCTACTAATCTTGACTAACCTCCATAACAAATAAGAAGACTGTGGGTCAAAGGATTCTAAAGTTATTGGGCGGACAAGCTTTTTGAAGTCAAGGCACCTGGGACCTTGACCTTTGACCTCAAAATCAATAGGGGTCATGTAATAATCGTGGCTAACCTCCATGCCAAATATGAAGACTGTGGGTCAAAGGATTCTTAAGTTATTGGGCGGACAAGCTTTTGAAGTTAAGGCCCATGTGACCTTGACCTTTGACCTGGTGACTTCAAAATCAATAGGGTTCATCTACTAATCATGACTAACCTCCATGCCAAATATGAAGACTGTGGGCCATAGGATTTTAAAGTTATTGGGCAGACAAGCTTTTTGAAGTCAAGGCCCCTGTAGCCTTGACCTTTGACCTGGTGACCTCAAAATCAATAGGGGTCTTCTTCTAATCTTGACTAACCTCCATGCCAAATATGAAGAGTGTGGGTCAAAGGATTCTTAAGTTATTGGGCGGGCAAGTTTTTTGAAGTCAAGGTCCCTGTGACCTTGACTTTTGACCTGGTGACTTCAAAATCAATAGGGGTCATCTACTAATCGTGACTAACCTCCATGCCAAATATGAAGACTGTGGGTCAAAGGATTCTTAAGTTATTGGGCGGACAAGCTTTTTGAAGTCAAGGCCCCTGTGACCTTGACCTTTGACCTGGTGACCTCAAAATCAATAGGGGTCATCTACTAATCGTGACTAACCTCCATGCCAAATATGAAGACTGTGGGTCAAAGGATTCTTAAGTTATTGGGCGGACAAGCTTTTTGAAGTCAAGGCCCCTGTGACCTTGACCTTTGACCTGGTGACCTCAAAATCAATAGGGGTCATCTACTAGTCATGACTAACCTGCATGCCAAATATGAAGACTGTGGGTCAAAGAATTAAGTTATTGGGCGGACAAGCTTTTTGAAGTCAAGGCCCCTGTGACCTTGACCTTTGAGCAGGTAACCTCAAATCAATAGGGGTCATCTGCTAATCGTGACTAACCTCCATGCCAAATATGAAGACTGTGGGTCAAAGGATTCTTAAGTTATTGGGCGGGCAAGCTTTTTGAAATCAAGGTCCCTGTGACCTTTGACCTGGTGACCTCAAAATCAATAGGGGTCATGTACTCATCGTGACTAACCTCCATGCCAAATATGAAGACTGTGGGTCAAAGGATTCTTAAGTTATTGGGTGGACAAGCTTTTTGAAGTCAAGGTCCCTGTGACCTTGACCTTTGACCTGGTGACCTCAAAATCAATAGGGGTCATGTACTAATCGTGACTAACCTCCATGCCAAATATGAAGACTATGGGTCAAAGGATTCTCAAGTTATTGGGCGGACAAGCTTTTTATAGTCAAGGCCCCTGTGACCTTGACCTTTGACCTTGTGACTTCAAAATCAATAGGGGTCATCTACTAATCATGACTAACCTCCATGCCAAATATGAAGACTGTGGGTCAAAGAATTCTTAAGTTATTGGGCGGGCAAGTTTTTTGAAGTCAAGGTCCCTGTGACCTTGACCTTTGACCTGGTGACTTCAAAATCAATAGGGGTCATCTACTTATCATGACTAACCTCCATGCCAAATATGAAGACTGTGGGTCAAAGAATTCTTAACTTATTAGGCGGACAAGCTTTTTGAAGTCAAGGCCCCTGTGACCTTGACCTTTGAGCTGGTGACCTCAAATCAATAGGGGTCATCTACTAATCGTGACTAAATATGAAGACTGTGGGTCAAAGGATTCTTAAGTTATTGGGCGGACAAGAAAAAAACCGACCGACACCAGACGGCCGGACAGACAAGCTGATTCCAGTATACCCCCCTTACAACTTTGTTGTGCGGGGGGTATAATTAAAGATATTTTTGGTCTTGTTCTAATTGTCTATGTTATGCTATTACTTATGGTTGCCCCACCAGTTATTGTCTGCTCACCTGGTCTAAAAACCTGTGATACAGAATTAATTATTGTTAAGAGTGTACAAAGTTATTGCTGTTCATTTTAATTTACCTATAAAAGTCCAGTATCTCAAGAGAATATTTGGCGGATTATTTTTCAAGTCAACATTGTCCAAAAACACTTGTACTTTATCATATTTCTTTTGCCATTTTAACAGATCACGGAAGTTATGCTTCCTACACTGCACAAAATCCAGGGCTTATAGCTACAGCTAACTATAACATCCGAGGTTTCAGAATTACTGTCTGCACCTGTTTGAATTTTACTTATATTGTGTAGGAAGCTATAAGCTTACGGACACACACACAACTTTATTCCTTGAACAAACTAGTACACAGCAATGAGTGTAAAGTTTCTTGCTCAAGGAAACAAAGGCTTCCTCTGACAGCCGCTAAAGATCCTTAGACAACAAGTATGACATGTTTATCACTCAGCAATGTCCATAGATCTGAATAAGTAAGTGTTTGTTTCTACACTACCAAACAGCGAGTGGTTTTTTTTATACTCGCCCTGTAGGGGCACTTTTTGTGTATTTTGATGTAGGACAGTCCTAGGATCATTCCTGTTATAGTTCCATCATTATTAGCCAAAGATCTTATAAGGAGATTTTGGAACATGAATGGAACATGAACACATGGTGGTCACAATGTCCAGGTGAGATAAAACAAGGGTGCCATAGTCACAAAATACGCCCGTTTACGAAAGCTTTAGATGATGATGGGGGCATTATGGATAAGTGTTATCTAGCAAGCAAGTTTTTATTCTTGGCACTGTGTTGTTAAATGAACCTTAAAACAAATCAGCAGGGAAGATATGCACAGGATGTGTGACCTTGACCTTGGTCGCAGGGACCTGAACTTTATGCACGGCACTCAGCTTCACAATGATGAACATTTGTGCCAAATTATATTGAAATCCCTCTATGCATGTAGAAGTTTTGCTCCAGACAAGCGTTTTTCTATGAGCTCTAACTGTGACCTTCACCTTTGACCTAGAGACTTGGTTCATGTGCAGGGCACTACGTCTCATGGTGGTGAACAATTCTGTAAAGTAACATTAAAATTCCTCCATGCATGTAGAAAATATGCTCCGGACAACATCTGGATATTTAATCATCTCCAGTGACCTTGACCTTGCAAATATTAACCTAAATTAAATGTGTCACATCTGTAGTCATGATAGTTACCATTTGTGCTACAATCCATCAATAAATGATGACTAAACCTATACACATCTTCAAATTTTTATCTGAACTTTGACCTCTATGTGTAACCTTGACTTTGGTCGCAGGGATCTGAATTTTGCGTGCGGCACTCAGCCTCACAATGGTGAACATTTGTGCCAAGTTATATTGAAATCCCCCTATGAATGCAGAAGTTTTGCTCCGGACAAGCGTTTTTCAATGAGCTCTAAGTGTGACCTTGACCTTTGACCTGGAGACCTGGATCATGCATGGATTTTTTGTTTGTTTGTTTGGATTTTTACGGCACGTCAACACATAACTGGCCATATCGTGCCGAATGCTATAATAGGCTTAAAATATTATGTAAAACATTGTAAATGACAATAGAAATGAACCAATTAGATCCTAGAATACAAATTTATCTCTTTTAAATAATCAATTATGTTCTTTGATGGAATTGTATTAAAAAGTTCTTTGAGTGAATTTACAGAATAAAATCTATTACGGGGCCTGTGAAAAATCATGACATTCAAGAAGAAAATGCTTGACAGTAAAATTTTCATTACAACCTACACAGAAAGGGGCATTGTCATTTGTGAGGAGATAAGAGTGGGTAATTTTAGTGTGTCAAATTCGGCATCGAAGAAGAACTGTTTGATCACGGCGGTTTGACAGAGATAGAGATGGTGACATATCAAGAGATGGGTTTATATCGTGAAGTTTATTAAAAACGGCATTGTCCCAATTTGCTTTCCATTCAGATGATCATGCATGGAGCAATACATATCATGGTGGTGAACATTTCCATAAAGTATTATAAAAATTCTTCCATACATGTAGGAGATATGCTCCAGACAAAATCTGGATATTTCACCATCTTTAGTGACCTTGACCTTGCATATATTGACCTAAAGTACATGTGTCACAGCCGTAGTCATGATAATGACCAATTGTGTTACAATCCCTCAATAAATGATGATTAAATCGTCCCTATACACATCTTCATATTTTTATCTAAACTTTGACCTCTATGTGTGACCTTGACCTTGGCTGCAGGGACCTGAATTTTGTGCGCGACACTCCGCCTCACAATGGTGAACATTTGTGCCAAGTTATATTGAAATCCCTTTATACATGTGGAAGTTTTGCTCTGGACAAGCGTTTTTCAATGAGCTCTAAGTGTGACCTTGACCTTTGACCTAGAGACCTAGTTGATGTGCGTGACATGGCTTCTCATAATGGTGAACATTTCTATGAAATTTCATTAAAATCCCTCCATGCTTGTAGGAGATATGCTCCGGACAACATCTGGATATTTCATCATCTTTAGTGACCTTGACCTTGTATATATTGACCTAAATTATATGTATCACAGCCATAGTCTTGATAATGACCATTTGTGTTACAATCCCTCAATAAATGATGACTAAATGGTCCATATACACATCTTCATATTTTTATCTGAACTTTGACCTCTATGTGTGACCTTGACCTTTGCCGCAAGGACCTGAATCTTGCGCGCGACACTCAGCCTCACAATGGTGAACATTTGTGCCAAGTAATATTGAAATCCCTCTATACATGTGGAAGTTTTGCTCCGGACAAGCATTTTTCAATGAGCTCTAAGTGTGACCTTGACCTTTGACCTAGAGACCTGGTTCATGTGCGCGACACTGCTCCTCATAGTGGTGAACATTTCTATGAAGTTTCATTTAAATCCCTCTATACATGTAGGAGATATGCTCTGGACAAAATTGGACGCCGCCCGCCCGCCAGGGGCGTTCCCATAATACGTCCCGTTTTTCAAACGGGCGTATAAAAACACTAGCTATTATCCTTTAAATATCTCTTAATTACTATTTTAACTTACTTGCGTAGATTCTGTAATTTTTGTTATAGAGTTCACCATCAGTATATGACAATTTCCCACCAACATACACTCTGTCTCTGCAAAGGAAGTATAGGAATGACAGTGTCTTCTGAACAGTTAGCATAAAAAGAAATTCACTACCAAACTTAGTACATGTTCATTGTAGGTAACTAAATTTACTTCCTAACTTGACACGTGTAAATAACTAAATTTACTACCAAACTTTATACATGTAGAAATTTTTTTTTAAAACTTTTTACACATACATAACGAAATTTACTTCCTACAAATAACTAGTTACATGTAGATAACTAAATTTACTACAGGTAGCTAGGAACCAAATGACTTAATGTGCCACAGATTTATACAAAAGGATTTTAAAATCCATCCAAAAATGAAAAGTTATGGACTGAACACATAGTTGGGCAGGATGGAATTGTAAAAACTATGTAAGTTCTGAGAAATAAACATATAAAACTTTTGTTACCCAACATGCATTCTATTCAACACCAAAGATGCTAATCCTGGATTATTTATGTTGACTGTATGCCATTTTGTTTCACCTACAAGACAAACAATTAAATTAAAGTTAGATAATTTCTTAAGAGGCATGTTTCAGTATACAATGTGAATATTTTCATAAAGAAAGTCATACTGTAATGCTTTCCTGCCAAAGAAATTCTAATATCGGCCAATATCGTAAAAACTCGGTCATTTTACACAATATTCGTTATTCAACAAGTTTAAACCATTTATAACCAGAATTTAGTACATAGCAATAAAGGATAAGTGATTGTAAATAATCTAATGCCCAGGATTTTGAAAAAATAACCTCCCACAAATAACCTATTTGCTACGATATTAGCTGATGTTAAAATTTCTTTGGCAGGAAAGCATTACAGTTAGACTACCTTAAATGTTAAAGAGAGGGTTTGCCTAAAATACGAAAGTGAGATTTTTGACGAAAGTGACTTTTAAAATTTGAATTTTACCGTTTTAATAGAATTTTACAGCTGTTTGTAGACATATATTATTAGCAACTCATTATATATATTATAATAAATAACCATGATCATGATTTAATCGCCATTTATTGGCCTAACATTCTATATACAAGTTCAGCGATCTTCCTTTCGCTCGCATAGCATAGAAAAATACGAAAGTAACTTGTAAAGTATTAAATATAGACTAACAGTTACGATTAAATCATCATAATGATTATTTTTGAAAATAAATATTATATATTTCTGATAATATACGTCTACAAACTGCAATTTTAATATAAATTTCAATTTAAACTCTATATTTAATATCTTTAAGTCACTTTCGTATTTTTCAAAGATGTCACAACTTGTGTATAGAAATTATGCAAATGAATGGGGATTAAATCATCAGAGTGATTATTTTTTTTAAAGAAATATTATTAGTTGCTAATAATATACGTCTACTAACAGAAAATTCACTGTAAAATTCTATTAAAACGGTACAATTCAAATTTTAAAAGTCACTTTCGCTCACTTTCGCTCCCTTTCGTCAAAAATCTCACTTTCGTATTTTAGGTATACCGTTAAAGAGACATGATGCTTTCACAATATTACAACTAAAACTAAACATTGATGCAACATTGTCATTAAGTTGGCAATAGTTAGCAATATTTATGAAATGTACCTCAACAAAAAATATAACTAAGAAAGTAAAAACAAGGGGTCTTAACTGAACTAGAAATGTGTCAAGAGGACACAGATGCCTCTGCTTAAATCCTATTATACATGTAGAAGTAATGAACCTGACACATACTTCAACTGCAAGACTATATGACAAAATTATGCTAAGTTCAATCCCTTGCTCTGATGCAGGGGTGTGGAATTCCTATGCCCGACTTGTCTGACTCGGACAAGTAAAAATTTGGTTACTGCTTGTCTGTTGACAAGTTGAGAAATAACAATGATATAAATATTTTAAGACAGTGAAATTTCTATGATTATTAAAAATTACGAGAAACATTCTTCTCTTTGATACAGAATGGCACAATAAAGCTTCTACATTTTACTTTGTTCATAAGCTCCTTATGTAACAGAAAATCTTTGATCTCAAAACTCACCTGGACAAGTAAGTTTAAATGTGGACAAGTATGAAAAGTTTGTATTTCCACACCCCTGTGATGGTATGATCTTGACATCTGAGCTAGAGACCTGAGTCTTTCATGTGACATTCATTAACTTTTGGTAAAATTTCACTCAAACAAGTATAGTGAGGAGCAAGAATTAAGTAACTTAGTAAAAATATTAACAGTAAGTCAACAAAGCAAAATAATGTAAGTTTTCTTACTATCATTTCCACATCCAATCCTAAAACTAACAAATGTGTGACCCATTTTTGTTTCTACCTCTTTTGGTGGTGAACCCACTCTTCCAATACATTGCACTTTGCAAAATGCTGAAAGTTAAAGTAATATGACTTCATATATCATGTATAAAAACAATGCCAGAAAAAAATGCATGCATGTAAGATGCTGTAAAACAATTTGAAATAATTTTGTATAATGAACACTTTCTCAGAATCAGTGGAGTTAAAATTCTTTTCACGTTCTCAGAACATTTCGAGAACATCAGTATCATTGTAAGGCACAGAAAGGCTACAACAGAGTGGGATGTTTTGACCCATGGCATTCAAATTGCCAAGACAATAGAAATTAACCCTCATTATAACAAGCATTTGATAGTATTGCGGGCAATACAGTAGTCCCCTATCCCCTACCGGTCCCTCAAAAAGTTCTTTAATTGTCATACACTCCTGTGTATTGCCATTTATAATGAATTTGAGGATGAAGTCTGTATTTGAAAATATCGACCACAAAACATAATAAAATAAGTTTGTCTATATCACAGTAATGTGTTAAGTTTCCATGCTTAGTAAGGAAATTATATTTATACAACCTTGTCATATTATTACGATGTGGGATTTTAAAGTAAATCCTATAAGGAATGAAGAAGTTGGAGTGAAAATACCAGTTTCTCGAAAAAAATCTAAGTTCAAGGGGACATAATTCTGGAAATAGTCTTGCTAGAGTATTTAACCTTCTCAAAAATGTCGAGTGATAATAAGAAACATATATATGAAGTTTGAAGTAGATACATGTACATTAGGAAATAAAGAAGTTATTTAAAAAAGACAACATTTTTTTCCCCTAAAAAATCTAAGTTCAAGGGAGGTAATACTGATATTTTTTGTGCTAGAGTTATAAACCTTGTCACATATGATGTGGTTGATGACCAGAAACTTATATTTAAAGTTTGAAGTAAAACACCTTAAGAAATAAAGAACATATAGTGAAAAAGCTGAAAAATTTAAATCAGAAATCTTGAAATTCAGGCTATTTGTTGCCATAGCAACCAGAATTTTCAACATAGGAAGAAAGAAAAAGATGTGCATAATCTCCAGACTGCCATCTACCCATATTTCAAGTTTCATAAAAATATTTTCAGTACTTTTTGAGTTATCACTGGATCCAGTTTATGTGTTAAATTTGCCATATTTTCAGACTATTTGTTGCCATAGCAACCAGAATTTTCAACATAGGAAGAAAAAAAAAAAGACGTGCATAATCTCCATACTGCCATCTATCCATATATCAAGTTTCATAAAAATATTTTCAGTACTTTTTGCGTTATCGCGGGATCCAGTTTTGTGGACGGACGGACTGACAGATAGACGGACGGACAGACGGATAGACGGACGGAGGGAAAACCTAAAGTCCCCTCCGGTTAAACTGGTAGGGGACTAATAATTACCATTTTTATGCATATGGTATGTTTCATTTGAGCCGCGTCATGACAAAACCAACATAATGGGTTTGCGGCCAGCATGGATCCAGACCAGCCTGCGCATCCGCGCAGTCTGATCAGAATCCATGCTGTTCGCTTACAAACCCTATAACAAGTAGAGAAACTGATAGCGAACAGCATGGATCCTGATCAGACTGCGCGGATGCGCAGGCTGGTCTGGATCCATGCTGGTCGCAATCGCATTATGTTGGTTTTGTAATGACGCAGCTCATTTATTATCATGAGTTTCATACTGAGACATATGCATGTACTAAGCTTTTGGCTCAGTTCAATTAAACCAGCGGGCCTTCAGTTTTAATTTTTTGTTGGAAAAATCAATTCTGTGTTGTTTGAAAATAAGGTTTTCAGTAATTTTATCTCGGAAAAGTGAATCATATCACTGTTAAGTCTTCTTCAACACAGCGTCCTGAGACCTATTTTTAATGACTTTTGTTTCTAAAAATAGAATATTGGGAAACGAATTGTCAGCTTTACTAACTTACATATGGAGAACAAACTTGTATCGGCCTTCAGCTTTTCTATTAGAGGTTTAATATATGTTATTTTTAAAATTAATCCTTTCAAATAATTATCAAATCAAAAGAATTAAGGAAAAAATGAAATTTGCTGGCGATAAAATACATAAACAATAAGGAAACTTCTCGGTTCCTCTAATCTACTGTTCCGTTCTCTATATGTAAATTATATTTAAATATTCTCTAAAAGACAACTTTAAATCACACAACTGATAAAAAAATATGTTAACCACCACTTAGAACCATTTTAGAAGAGGACAGTGAATGACCTGGTTTAAAACTGCAGAGGTATGTAATAATAAGGTCAATAAATGGCATAACTCACATAATTCACTTCCTTTTGGTTTTTCCTCTGGTTTTTCCTCGTGTACTGCCTCCAAATTTTTTTCATCATTTGTACAATAGTTTGCCCTGATGCACCTATGTATGCTCACAACACTTCTTTCACCACTTACCATCTGAAAAAAAAAACATTTCTCGATGAACAAGAGCATTAAGGTTATCAAAAAAGAACTTGCCTGAAGGAGCAAAAGAAAAACAAGGGGGCCATTGGCCCCAATGCGCTCACCTGATCTTTGTGTATAGTTAAAACTGTTCCCATCCATAAACTTTAACCATGATCATAACTTTAAAGTTCTTGGTGTATTGTCTTAAAACATCAACTTCTTAACTACACAAAACAATTTACCCTGTTTTGTATATTTTTAAGACCTTGTAACTTTACTTTTGTATATCAATTGCATTTAGTACTCAAGAAGGAAAACCTATGACCCCATGGTGGGGCCAAATTGACCCTAGGGCTATAATTTGAACAATCTTGTTAGAGTTCCACTACACAATGCTTCATGCCAAATATCTGACCTCTAGCCTTTGTCAATTCAGAGGAGAAGGTTTTTTTAAGTTTTTACTATAAACATATAAGGAAAAACCTATGACCCCATGGGGCGGGGCCAATTTTGACCCCAAGGCTATAATTTGAACAAATTTGGTAGAGGACCTATAGGTGATATCATATACCAAATATCAAAGCTCTAGGCGGCAGGCCTTGCACTTTCAGACATTAGGCTTTTTAAGTTTGCATTTTTTAAACTCCTTTTCTAGCCTGTGACCTACTTATGCAACAGACCGGAACCATTTAACAATTTTGGCAGGGGATCACCCAAGGATCATTCCTTACTGTGCAGTCTTTGGTTTTTGATGAGAAGTTGTTTAAAGAATTGTTGATGACGCATGACGACGGACAGTGGGGGAACCATGAGCATGTTGTGCTCAGAAGAGCTAAAAATGTGGCTGGCCTTTTATTATTACTCAGCTATCTATAAAGGTATTATTTAAATGTCATATATGGCACAAGAAACAATTAATACCAGGATGTCAAAGGCCGGGACTGCTTAGCAGACCAGGGCTACGCTCTTGTGATATGATTGTGATACTACTGATAGGTAGTCCAATATATTAGACATTACAGGCTTGTTATAGTTTTAGGTCAGCCAAGCCTGACGTCTAATAGTTATTGCTCATAAAAGCATAGCATTTAAAAAAAAAAAAAAATGACTATTGTCTTGCCTTTCAAGCTTTATTCAAAAGCTTCTCTTCAATTCTTTCAATTTCATGCTCAATCATTCACAAAAACGCTCAAACAATGTACTTATCAATTAAGAATAAAATATAAATATCAATCTATTTTTGCCTATCAGCCATACTGTTTAAGTAAAGTGCTTTACAGATTGATTCCAAATTTTTGAACGGAAAAATATATTCAAACACGCTGACAGTGCATGGGCAATTATTTCGTTAAAAAAATAATCTGTTAGAAACTTCTGACTCATTTAAACGCTTGCATTTGAATTAGCCAATCAGAATTTGTGCACTGTATGACGGTCATTTGTTTATCGGCTGTATAACTATAAGGAATTTAATTAAATGAGAGGTTTTAATCATGATTTTTCGGATGTCACAGTTTATTTTGTTAAAAGGTATTTATTTTTTAGTTTTATTCATAAATAGGTCAAAATTAATGTAAATACATGCTGTCTTAATTGTTTAAATGCATTAGATCTAAATAGATGTCTAATGTCAAATTGTTTGCGACACGTTTTTGCAGTGATCTGCTAAGACCTAACGTAACATGAAATGAAAGATTAATTAATGATAAATATGAAATAGGTTATGTATAGGTCTTATAATTAGGTAGGTAGATCCAACTTTCTAACTATTATCGAAAACATAGCCTTTCTTGCCTATTCTTAGAAATGATTCTTTGTTTTAGCAAATTTACCAAATGTTATAAGAAAATTTACCACCCAGATGTGAAAAATCATTGACAATCTGCAGGGTTCTCACTAGGACTTTAAAACATGGAGTCCATGGACTCCCAACCCTGAAATAGTTGGAGTCCAAAAGCGCGTCGCAATTTATATGTTTACAGATTAGTCATTCAATGCTCACAATAGCATTGCTGATATTTTAAATCTTCAAGAGACTTCCAAAGTTTATAGCTATTCAAAAGAAACTCTGAACTACATAGTATAAAATTTCATTGTTTTGTTGTTAATATTTATTATGAAATTATTTAATTATAATGCATCAACACATGGAAATCGTTTTTTTTCCCACTTTTATACCAAATCAAATTTTATTCTGGTTAAATAAGTCCACTCTAAAGACAAAAAGTTTATATTTGTAAAAAAAAACGTAAATGTATATAGGCAGCGTTTAGCGGAATGAATAGGAAAATCGTGTACAGCTTCACACAGTGTGTAAGAGATTCACCCGATCGACAATTATTTTAGCAAATATTTTCAAAAGGGGGCAAATTGAAGATCGATATTTAAAGATTTAATGTTGATTAAATAATAAAGGAACAATTCATTCGCATGTTTGGCTTGGAAACCGAGAATTTTTGCGAAATTTTAGGGTTTCTGGCGAACGTGAAATCGCCGATGTTCGGGATCAATTTTCGGATAGAATCTAAATATCAAAGAAAAGGCCTTAAAGGGTATGTGTATTTTGGTTTGTTGTCGTGGCATTTCGGCACAATATCTTAAATTCTTAATACTCTTATAGAAAGTTTTTGAAAAAAATGAAACTAAAGCAAAATTGTGCCTAGAAAATGCCGAAAATGTTCCGAATCATTCAAAATTACACTCATTTGTAATTTAAGAAAACAGTCTTTAAACTTGCGGCGTAAATAGTCGATAATTTTATCCTTTTGTCGGTATAAGTTGCTAATTTCCAATCAACTGTTGATCAAAGATATAGAATTATCACCACGTGTTATATCTGGTAATTACATGTACTGTACAGCGTGTATACATTAGTCTGATAACTATTGCATGTTAATGATCGGAAGCGTTATCGCTGATTGGCTAATCGCTTCACGGGTCGATGTGCATAGGACCGCCTACCTATAGACTGACACGTGCTGACGCATTTGTGTATTTGTGGTTGTAAACAATCGGTAATGTTTATGCGTCCCAAGGCAAAATTAAGCGTACGTGGAATCCTTGCTCTGAAATATTTGCGTCCAGCTGTAATAAACATGCGTACCGGGACGCTGAAATAAGCGTCCCTGAGAACCCTGAATCTGTAACAAATTACCTTCAAAACTTAAAGCTAGGGTATTACATTTTAAACCTCTTTTACTTTTACAAAAAAAACAACAATTTTTGTATTATTAGATGCTGTAATTGACAATAATTTGACATTGCATATAGTGCTTTTTGCAGTTCTTCAGCAGATTCAGCAAATATAACTGTGTCGTCAGCATATAAAAGAATGAAGTGGCCGAGTGTTTTTGTCGCGAAACGTCAGTGGAGCGAATCGTTATCAACTCGTCGCGAATACATGTGACACGAGATATTATCCTGGATAAGTCTGCATTGAAATAAATGTCACTTAAACCAAATATACATTTTTAAATAAAAAATAATAACTTAAATTCTTCAATCATATTTTACCTTCTTAAAAAATTGACGAAGCATTTTAAAACAGGAATTTGTTTTGCACGGGAGCAAATTTTCTTATTTTTGCAAAAACGGGAAAAAAGTAAAATTAGCAAGCCGGGAACCAATATGCTGGAGTCATTTGTAACTCCTCGCCTTTTATCGTTATGTGGTCAACTGACAAGTTTTGATTTGACAGATGAAATATTTCAAGTTCTGCAGACGGTAAAAGTTCTTTAAACCGAAAGTTCATTGTACCGTAAAGTTTGTGTTACTTTAAATTCTAGACTTCAGTCTTTACATGGTCGGTTTCTTGGAATCGTGATAAACCCGGAAATGAGATTTTATGTCTGTTAGGTCAGACTAATCTATTGATATTTCCATCGGCTTGCATTATAAGAAATAGCCCAAAAATTTATATTAAAATTTAGTATATGTCCTAATTATGAGAATAATATGACTGTCAATTTAAAAATGGCTTTATCAAATTATGTAAAATGGTTTGGCAACTAATTTTTTTGAGTGATGGCATGTCCAAGTGGTGACTATAAATCCGGTAGTCAGACTATTCTCTTCCTTACCACTTCCTTCCCTGACGTTTCTCTCCCTATTTTGGGGGAGAACCGTCTGCATATTTGCAAATAAGTAGACAGTTCCTCCCCATCTTTATTTTTATTAATACATTAATGATTATTATTGAAGTATTTAGATGTTTAATTATTGGATAAGTTTATTATTAAATTAAAATATTTTATTGGAGTATTTAGATGTTTAATATATGGGCATGTTTATGATTAATTGATATAGATTAGATAAAAAAAAATATTTTTAGCATAGTATATTATTCAGATTTTTTTTTATTAATTTAGATCTAATGTATACTTTTTAATGTGTTTAATTTACTTGATTAGGATAATCATTCGATATTTATTATTGGGTGAGGTTTTTTGTTTTTTTTTTTAATAAATAAGAAAAAAAAATATAAGCAAAAAATGATTTATAAATTTTAATTGCTAAATTACTATAATTAAATACTTTTGTATAATGAAGAAAGGAGTTCAATACACATGTACATGTATGTGCGTTAAGTTTACTGTCAGAGATAATTAAGGTGTTTATTAATTCATTATTCAAGAATCAAGGTGTAATCTAATGATTAAAATAACTGTAAAAAGGTGTTGATAAACAAATATTTTTATTAGTTATTTGGTAATATATATTGTTTCATGTTACTGACTACATGTTCTTTAATCAATTTTGTATAAAAGTAAATGTGAAATGTGATTGCATACCAGTTGTTGCTTATTTATTTTCTATAACATACTTGTTACCACCTTATTCGCTATTTAACAAATGAATGAATATCACAAGACCTTCACATAATTACAGGTGTATGTATATCAATCACTGTCCAGTAATCTTAACCTCTCACAATGAAGGTGTTAACAGTATTAAAATATCTGAAAAAGGTGTTAAATTTACAAACACTTTTCAGAATCAAATAAACATAAAATGCACTTTACTTAATATCAAATACATTATTTTAATAATCTTCAAGAAATATTATAAGATTAAGTCAAAACTAAAATGATAACTAACAAATAAAAATTTGGGGAGAACTGTCTGCATATTGCAAAATTGGGAGAGAACCGTCAGGGGGTCAGGGGAGGAAACGGTATGGGAGAGAACCGTCAGGGAGAGGGAACTGGTAAGGGAGAGAATAGTCTGTCATTCTATAAATCCAAAGATTGCTGCCAGTCAGATCACAGGCGCTAGTCACATAATCAAATATGTTACATAATCGGTCTATATATGTATATAAAGATATAGACCGATTATGTAAAATATTTGATTATGTGACAAGCGCCTGGGTGTACCGACATAATCCCCTTCGGACAAAATCCCCTTCATGTATTTTTGTATATCTGGACATAATCCCCTCCATGGGTGGACATAATCCCCTGCATGTGTGAAATTTCGAAGTGGACAAAATCCCCTTCATAAAATTGCTACCTAGGACAAAATCCCCCTCAGATGAATTTTCTGTTTATGAAGTGGGAATGAGAGCGACATACTGCATTATGCTTTAATGAAAACTTCTAAACTAAATAAAGGTTAACTTGATACATAATTATAAATGAAAAACAACAAAAGTTCATTATTCATCAATTTTTAGGGAGTATATAATAATACATTATTCATCAATTTTTATGGAGCATAATAATACATTAGAAACCTATGAAACAAGGGGATTTTGTCCGGGGTAGTGAAGGGGATTTTGTCCAGCCTTGCAAAAACATGAAGGGGATTATGTCCACCCATGAAGGGGATTTTGTCCGGGTATGCGAAGGGGATTTTGTCCGGAGGGGATTATGTCTGACATTCAAGCGCCTGTGAGTCAGATCTAACATTGGATACACTTCCGGTGTTACATTGATGCTTTAGTCACCTTAATAGCACTGAAGTCCTAGATCTTCATTGCATTGACTTTAGGCTCTTTTTGATGATATGACATTATAGTCCCTAAAGATTTGGTTATCTCTCCCTTTGTGCCCATATGCTGAGCTACAGGTTAATCCTATCCGGGACAGACTGCAGCATCTGAGGGTTCTCACTGTGATTTTAAAAATACACATGGAGTCCTGGGACTCCCAAGCCGAAAAAAGAAGGAGTCACCTCAAAAATATTTGAAAATATGTGAAGCTGTCTATGCTGCAGTCACTGAATAAGCTGAGTAAATGAGGGGGGGGGGCAGAGTTTGAACAGAAAAAAGCTTAGGAGAATGGTAATATGTCCCAAACCAAGTATGTTGCATTCTCATTTGCATTTCAGATTTTATTTTTACTTTTATCAAACCCGCTGCATTTCCTAATAAAAATAATTTGTTGTCAGATCAGTTCATTCTTGCATCTCTCTTTTTGTTTAAACACCTATTAAATGCAGTCTACTGCAATCTGTATAAGGAAAAGAATTTATACAATCAAATCTTTTGAAACTAAAATAGATTTTTAAAAAAAAAAATTTGGTGTAATTTGACAGACTTTACCTAATTCACATAGATTGTTTAAGCGATGCCTAAATGTTTTGCATGTATGTGTCCACTAGACATGTGTCCACTAGACAATATTTTTACTAAATGTCTACACATTTTAAGAACATTTTCTGAATTTTTATAAAAAAAAATGAAATTTGTCTCAATGTTCTTGTTTTAGGAATTTTGATAGAGAAAAATAAACATGAGTGCTATACATGAGAAGAGGATGGCTGTTTTAAAGCGTGTATTGTCAGATGTTATCATCATTGGCTCAGGTACAGTAATTTCAAAGGTCATGCAAATGTAAAATGACTTTGTCTTAAAGTGGTTGTCCATGAACAGGCTCAATCAAACTGCGCTTGCAACATTTTCAATTTTGCCGTGTTGGTCTTTCTTTAGGGATTTGTATTTTCTCTATTTTGTCAAATCGCACCATCATCATCAGCTAAGGTAACCATAACTTCTGCATGCAAAGTTAAGGGTCAAAGAAATGTATCTTATAGCATTTGTTGTCATATTAAACAACCATCAGCTAGGGCCTAACCATAGCTTCTGTATGCAATAAGTTAAGGGTTAGATGGCTATATCTTATAGCATTTATTGTCAGATCTCACCATAATCATCAGCTAAGGTAACCATAGCTTTTTCATGATATAAGTTAAGGACCAGATGACTCTTTTTGCATTAATTTTGTTTTCAGATTTCACCATCATTGGTTATAGGTAACTTCTGTTTACAAAGTTAAGGGGTTTTAATACATTTGTTGTCAGATGTCATCAAATTTTGTTAAGGTAACATCTGCATACATTAGGGTAATAAGGTAAAAAAATGTCAAATGACTGTGTCTTAAAGTGTTTGTTGTAAGATGTCACCATTTGTAAGATGTCATCATTGGCTATTTATAGCTTACTTCTGGATGCTAAGTTGTAAGGGATTATATCTTTAGAAGGTTGGTAAAGGTGATATGATCACCAGCTAAAGTGTCTTCTGTATACATGTATGCTAAGTTATGGACACTTACTTCAGTTTTCATATAGACACATTATTAGACAGAATGAAAACTGTTACATAATTGGTACTTATTGAAATTTATATGGTTTTAGAATATGATAGTCAGAATTATTTTAGTGAAAAAAAAATAAAGGCTGAAGATCTCATTTTTTATTATCTGCCTTTGCCTATGTGAAGTTAAAATAACATAGCATTACTTTATAAACTTAAACTTTACATAAACTTCTTTTCCAAAATTATTATTTGATACAATTTTATTTTCAGGCGGTGCTGTTTTACTGCTGTTCAGATTTTTGGGTGATCCATATAAACGTGGTTTCTTTTGTGATGATGAGTCACTAAAACATCCATTTAAAGAGTCCACGGTCTCGTCAGCTATGTTGTATGGTATAGGTTTTGCTCTTGGCTCAGTTCTTGTAAGTAGATAGTCAAACTTTTCTCTCTTTTTTATTTACAAGTATCACCTGAACTTCAAATTAAGACTATGTTGGATTATTTTTTTAAAGTTTCTTTCACAAGCTATACATTATTATACATTATACTTAACTTTTTAAAAAAGTTTAATATTGATATTAAGAAATAATTTTTTTGTGGTAATATACATGATTTCAACTCTGGGCTTAGTGTCATGTGCATAAACCAGGTATCCTGGTTAAAGCTCAAGGTCACATTTGGAGGTCAGAGGAAAATGCTTGTCAGGAGAAAAACTTCTAATTACATAATTACATTGTAAATTGATTTTGATTTAACTTGGTAGAAATGTTCCCTATTGTGATCTGGTGTTACACACCAAATTCAGGTCCCTGTTGCCAAGTTCATGGTCACACACAGAACTCGAAGGTCAGATAAAAATATGTAAATTTGTGTATGGTCAATTTAGTAGTCTTGAATTACAAGTTTATAAATGAAATGTTGATGTCATGGCCACCAGAGATGATTAGATTTTAAAACTTTGGCCATCTCTAGCTTGTCTTGTTATGTTCACATAAACCAAGTTTCTAGGTCAAAGGTCAGAGGAAAACACTTGTACATAGTGAAACTTCTTTATATATAGAGGAATTGTTATATAACTTTGCACAAATTGTCAAAATTGTGAGGCATAGTGTTTGTTATTTGCAAAACTCAGGTCAAAAATAATTCAGGGATGCACAAAAGATTGTAAGAAGTAGAAATTACTACTACTTTCAGTTTGTAAAAGGCAAAATATGTTTATTAATTGTAAAGTCATAAACATATATTTTAATATGCCCGAAAGGGCATATTATGTTATACACTCTGGCGTCCGTCTGTCTGTCCGTACAAACCCCAGGGGGGAAACTTGTTTGAATTGAGAACAATGGTTAAACCAAAAGTAAATTCCTTTGCTTGGTTTTGGGGTTTTTCCTTAAAAGGTGGTCCGGGCTTTGTTTTACTTTGGGTTGTGTCTTTTTATAAGCCTTGTGTGACTAAAAATGGCCAAAAAGATCAAAGGAAAAGTCACATAAGTACCATTTTGCGAGTCCGTCCTCCGTTAGCAATTTGGTTTCCGGAGCATAACTTAAGTTCCATTTGACCCCAATGTTCAAACTTCATAGGATGATTGTCCATATTGGGTAGAAGACCCCTATTTATTTTGGGGTCAAAAGGTCAAAGGTCAAGGTCACTATTACCTTAAAACAGTTTCCGGAGCATAACTTAAGTTCCATTTGACCCACAATGTTCAAACTTCATAGGATGATTGTCCATATTGGGTAGAAGACCCCAATCGATTTTGGGGTCACAAGGTCAGAAGTCAAGGTCACTATTACCTTGATACTGAAAACAGTTTACGGATCATAACTTAAGTTCCATTTGGCCCACAATATTCAAACTTCATAGGATGATTGTCCATATTGGGTAGAAGACCCCTATTGATTTGGGGTCAAAAGGTCAAAGGTCAAGATCACTATTACCTTAAAATTGAAAACAGTTTCCGGAGTATAACTTAAGTTCCATTTGGCTCACAATATTCAAACTTCTTAGGATGATTGTCCATATAAGGTAAAAGACCCCTTTTGATTTTGGGGTCACAAGGTCAAAGGTTAAGGTCATTATTAATAACTTAAGTATTAATCAACCTACAGCTGTAAAATTTTATAGGATGAACAGCTAATTCCCATGTCTTACAAATGCTTCATCCTTACTAAAAAAAAACACTTTCGGCATATAATGCTCCGCCTAGCGGTGCTCTTGTTCTCAAAGGTTTCCTGTTGTTCCAAATTTGATCAGACAATTTGTAACATTCATAGCATTATTCAAATTATTATGATAAAAAGATGTTCTATATATTTGATTTTTCTTTATCTCAGATTGGTGTAGTTGAATACATATGGATATATGGAGTAAAGGAGCGTGACCCACAACAAACTGTTGATATCAAGAAATATGGGAAACATTGGATTCTTATCCGAGATATTTACCTATCCTTGGTTCCATACATATTTGGTGCCGCTTTGGAGCATATTATATCGAACATTGGGAAATACAGCATTGGACGTCTAAGACCTCATTTCTTTGATGTGTGTAAAGTAGACTTTAGTAAAGTGAATTGTTCAGCTGGATATATTGAGGAATTTGAATGTCTGGGTGACAATAAAAACAGAATTAGGGAAATGAGGTAAGAATGTGGTAATAATTATTGGAGAAGCATGTATTATGCTTTTGACTATATAAGTAATGTTAGTTATATTTAGCTGGAAATATTGTAGAATTGAATGTCTGGGTGACAGTAAAAAAACAGAATTAAGGAAATAAGGTAAGTTTGTGGCGTTAATTATACACAGAGACCCTGTCTCCCCTTGATATATTTCCAGAGGAGATAATCATTGTATTGTGTTTGCTTATATAATTATGCCTGATTGTCTGTTTGTTCTTTTTATGTTGACATTAATACATTTTTAGTAACCTTGTAACAGTTGTATCTCAGCAGTCAGTCCACATAAAATTCTTTAGATAACTAACTAGTCATTACCAACTTTATCTGCATTGACCAACTACTAATCCAACGTGACTCTGAATCAGTGGTCAGAGACAAATGACCATTAGACATCCTTGGTCCAAGATCAGTTTTTCACAGAAAAAATCAGCCTTGTCTGAAGGATAGGACCACGACCTGGATTAAAATCCAATACCCTCCATATTTGAGCTAAACGGGTGGACTTTTTATATATGCCTGAAAGGATTGGTAAAGAGAAGTTCTTCTGCAAGTGAACAAGATAAGATTGCCATAAAGCAGTCCTCCCAAAGTTACAAACACAAGACTATTTTTAGTGCAATGACCAATTAACAGAACAACTAATTAGCTAGACTGTAAAAACTGGACTTACAATGAATCAACAAGGCAAACTAAAGTAAATTTTTTAGCCTCATACTTTGTAACATGTAGCCTGGAATCTTATAACTGAATATTTTAAAATGCCTAGCCATGATAAGAATGTTTCATTTAAAACCTGATACTTTCCTGAAACATTAATGTCACATAGCTACAGTTCTCTCAATTGCCTTTTGACAAGTTACAATGTACCCTTATACCCGTCTGCTTGAAACCATTGACCTAGGCTAGCTGTATATTTATTTTATATATACATATTTACCTAACTCAAAACGGCTAATTTAAAATACCCAAATTTTTGGACTTTCCACCTTGTTCAGCGGCATTTATTATACAAATAATTCAGACAAAACAAGGGAAGTGACGAAACATCATTGAGTGACACCCACCATGGCATTTATGTGCCATCTGCTCGCGTTATTCATAAGGTTGATATGTTTTTTTCCACAAAATTTTGATTGTCTTTCAGTATTTAGTCAGTCCAGTCGAAAGGCTTAACTGTAGGTCAATTCAAATTAGCGCTTTCAGTTATGTACGGCAAATTAGAGATTTTATCCATGTTTACATATATAATGCCATTGTTACATTACAGGTTATCTTTCCCATCAGGTCATGCATCATTTCATCGTACTGCCGCTATATATCTGATGGTATGTACCTTAAGTATTTAGTTGTGTTGTTTGGTAAAATTTGCTGTACTAAGTATCAGTAAAGTAGGCTTTTTTAAAGTTGGATGGGTTATTAGATATGTTCATTATTACATGTATACTGCATGGTCTTTTAATGTAGATTTTCATTGGCATATTATGATATGTATATTACCTTTATAATAAGCTCCTTTTAATACTTTAGTTGTTAATTGGGGTAGAAATGTGGAGATAAAAAACAGTATATTCAGTCAACAATTTGCTTAAAAAACAATCGTATTGCAACGCTCACTTGGTATTTAAATATTTATATATCACTCAAGCTTTTAACATGTTTATCTGAAGTTTTATTTTATAAAAATATTTCTCTGATTACAACATTGTATTTTGAGGCATGCAGCTTAACCCATTTCTTAGCCTTCTAGCTGCAAACTTACTCTAACTATACAAACAAGTGCAGACCAATATCAGTCAGCACATCTAAGTGCAAATCTGATCATGGGTCTGCACTGTTAGTTAATCAGTCAGTATGTTTTTTTAAATTTTACCTAAAAAAGATGAATGGTTTTGTTCAGATCAAAAAATGGACAAGTCCATTTATGATATTGAGGGTGGTAAGGGTTAAATAGATGTTCTTGTATGTGCAAGATATTTGATAATGTATGTTGTTCTATTTTGCAGATATTTTCTACAACGAAGGCTAACATTTTTGTTCAAGTCTTTAATAAAGCCTGTACTACAGACACTGATATTTGCTATGGCTTACTACAACATGTCTTAGCAGAGTGTCAAACTACAAACATCATCCAAACTGATGTGATAGCTGGTGCGGTTATAGGGTGTTGCAAAGTATTAGTGCGTGAGTGGCAGTAATGGTTTTGTTCTTTAATCACCAGTTTTATAGAGTGAGGTCTTGTTTTTGTATGGTTTTAATCAAACATTTGCCACTGTAAAGGTCATTTTGTCACCTTAGTGCAGTAACAGAATAACTTTTATTTTTTATAACCCGCACAACAAGAGTTGTAAGGGGGGTATACTGGAATCAGCTTGTCCGTCCGGCCCAGCCGTCCGTCCTTTTTTTCTTGTCCGACCAATTACTTGAGATTCCTTTGATCCACAGTCTTCATATTTGGCATGGAGGTTAGTCATGATTAGTAGATGACCCCAATTGATTTTGAGGTCACCAGGTCAAAGGTCAAGGTCACAGGGGCCTTGACTTCAAAACCTTGTCCGCCCAATAACTTAAGATTCCTTTGACCCACAGTCTTATCATATTTTGGCATTAAGGTTAGTCATGATTAGTAGATGACCCCTAATGATTTTGAGGTCACCAGGTCAAAGGTAAACGGTCACAGGGGCCTTGACTTTCAAAAACCTTGTCCGCCCAATAACTAAGATTCCTTTGACCCACAGTCTTCATATTTGGCATGGAGGTTAGTCATGTTAGTAGATGACCCCTATTGATTTTGAGGTCACCAGGTCAAAGGTCAAAGTCACAGGGGCCTTGACTTCTAAAAGCTGTCCGCCTAATAACTTAAGATTCCCTTTGACCCACAGTCTTCATATTTGGCATGGAGGTTAGTCATGATTACTAGATGACCCCTATCGATTTTGAGGTCACCAGGTCAAAGGTCAAGGTCACAGGGGCCTTGACTTCCAAAAGCTTGTCTGCCCAATAACTTAAAATTCCTTTGACCCACAGTCTTCATATTTGGCATGGAGGTTAGTCATGATTAGTAGATGACCCCTATTGATTTTGAGGTCACCAGGTCAAAGGTCAAGGTCACATGGGCCTTGACTTCTAAAAGCTTGTCCGCCTAATAACTTAAGAATTCCTTTGACCCACAGTCTTCATATTTGGCATGGAGGTTTTAGTCATGATTAGTAGATGACCCCTATTGATTTGAGGTCACCAAGGTCAAAGGTCAAGGTCACAGGGCCTTGACTTCCAAAAGCTTGTCCGCCCAATAAACTAAGATTTCCTTTGACCCACAGTCTTCATATTTGGCATGGAGTTAGTCATGTTTAGTAGATGACCCCTATTGATTTTGAGTCACAGGGTCAAGTTCAAGGTCACAGGGGACCTTGTCAAAAAAGCTTTTCCCCTCAATTGCTTTTCAGAGTGCCTGTCCAGAGGTAAGCGGTTGTGGTATTGATTTTGACATTTTCACATTTGAAGCATATGTAGAAGTAGAATACATAACTTAAAGCAATGCACTGGCTTAGTTACCTCAGATTTGGCAGGGAGGGTTGTCCTTGATTCTTTAATGGCCACTGTCGATTCTGACAAGTGTATGCGGGTATTCACGCCATGACAGTGGCAGTTCTAGTTAAATTTGATATGTGTTAAACAGTTACTGCACTAAGGTGGCTGTATAGCAACTTTACAACTATACTGTGTGGAAGAGACATTATTAAGAATCACTAGCCGTTTGTAAAATAGCTGGATAAAAAAGAGAACCAGGTCAGTCTGCAGCAGCTATTGTCACTGAGTGGTAATGTCACCAACTTCAAATCACTTGCCTCTCACCATTGTTGGTTCTTATTCTGTCAGGGACAAATGGAATCTTCCATGTGACGAAGCTATCCAGTTAACTTAACAATGATTGGATGGTTCTCTATCAGCTTGTGCCTGAAATAATTCACAAAGGGGCACCTGGGGTCTTCCTCCACAAGTATGGTTAGAAAGTCACTGTATAAACTTTAAAAAGTCTATGTGACTTGAAATAAAGAAATCTAAAATACATGTTTGTGCACTTTGAGCAGACTGTATACTGGAGGTTTACATGTAAATTTTGTTGTTTTCATTGCTTACAAGGGACCTCCCCTTTTCAAGATTGTTTATTCCATCAGATAAGTATACTACATTGAGTATTTTGATTCTACTGGTTTGAACATGGTAAGGTCTTCATTGAGAATACAACTCGTAACAGGTTTTATTTTTTCTTGCAGGCATACTGCGTGTCAGATTTATTCAGTATGGCAGATACAAGGGAGACATATAGGGAAATGTACATGAACATGAAGGGACAGAGTGGCAGAGAACAGAACTCAGATACTGAGAAAATATCGGACACTGATGTCAGAATGTGACGGGAAAAGTTGACAACTGGAATTGTGGATGTAACAGATACTTCAAAATTAGAAATCACACTTGCTTAAATCTTCTCTTAGTTTCTTTAACTCCACTGATTTTATGGAGTGGACTGGTCCATCTTTGAATTTGAAACTGTCCATTTGTAATGAATTCCATGGATTTTTGTATCTAAGTATTACAATGGAGCAGCTGTTTAGTATTTTATTTTATGAGTATGACCACTCTATATGGATATGCAGGTCAGGAAGACTGTATAGTCATACATGTGGACAAAGGCCATCTGACCGATATTACATTTATAAACAAGGGGTCCTTATTTAGAGGTTACTCTGTTCTGTGAAATCAGCCACAGTTTTTGAGGAATGGCCTTTATTAATAGGATGATCTTAATTCAAAGAAAGTCTTTAACACAAGTTTGACTGTATAATGATAATTAATCTTTGTCATAATTGAATATTTTGACATAATACCAGGGTTTTTACATTATTCATACATGATTTCAAAGAGATTCTTCATTTGTATAAAAGTTTAAGATAAAGACATAATAACTTTATATTCAATATACTAACATATTAATGGATTATTAAATGGCAAATTTCCCTTTTGATCCCCATTATTTTCATTTCTTAGATCCTACAGAAAGTCTAGGTCAAGCGGAAAATAATTGGACCACTCTGAAATTAGAAATGTTTTGATTCATTTCATTTAAATGATCTAATTCTGAAGATTTCTAACACTACATGCATATTCTCTGTATAATTTACATCATAAACAATATTGTACTTCCATTGTAACTGCATTGGTGTGTAAATGATGTAATTTCCAGAGTAAAATAATTATTGCAGGTCAATATGACATTTAGAGGGCTGATATAGAAGGAATATTAATGCAGTATGGGTCAATTGGGTAATTTTTTTGACCATACCTGTGCAGATAAAGCACTGGTACATGTATCTCAAGAAAGTGTGTGAGAATACAACATAGCTGTTAGATATGTAGACTTAATATTACACAGGTTATATGCTATGTTAGACATAATATCATAATGTAATCAAGTTGCAGACATATTATCAGTGTATTTACATCAGATAATATGGCACCTGTTAATGTCATAATTTATCTTTAGTTAAATTTAATTGATAAAGTCCTCCTTGAACCTTTTTAACAAGTTAAATATGAATACCAAGTTAATAGTAAATGTATGTTATCAAGTAGAATATGAATTGAATCTTGCCAAATGGAATATGAATGGTATCTTTCTAAGATAAATACAAATTGTATCCTACCAAGTTAAATATGAATTGTATCTTACCAAGTTGAATATAAATAATCAGTTGTATCCTGCCAAGGAGAATATGAATTGTATCTTAACAAGTACAATAGGCATAGTATCTTACCATGTTGAATATGAATTGTATCTTACTAAGCAGAATATGAATTTAAATATGAATTGAATCTTACCAAGTTAAATATGAATTGAATCTAACCAAGTTGAATATGAATTGAATCTTACCAAGTGGAATATGAATTTGAATCTTACCAAGTTAAATATGAATTGAATCTTACCAAGTTAAATATGAATTGAATCTTACCAAGTTAAATATGAATTGAAATCTTACCAAGTTAAATATGAATTGTATCATACCAAGTGGAATATGAATTATATCTTCCCAAGTTAAATATGAATTATATCTCTTATACAAAGTTAATTTTAAATTGTGCCTTACCAAGTTAAATATGTAATATAATTGTATAGGTAAAGAACTAAAGATAAAACCATAGTTTTATGTCACTATTGGTATATTCAGAACATGTTTTACTATATGTACATTGTTTTGTTTCCAAAGGTGCTATTTTGTATTTCACAATCATTGTTCACAACAAGGTTATATTGATGTATTATTTTACTCATTTGATATTCTAGGTAGTCTCAGATATGTTGTATTTATGATCGAATGGAGGCCCTTTTTTGCGATAAAAGATTTTTCTATATATAAAATATATTTAAATATGTACATTTAGGGTTACTGAAATGTTTACACAATTTGAAATATTTCATAAGGTTTTTGTCTGGTTTTACTAAAAATTGAATAGATTTTTTGTTTTGTATGCCACTCAATTTTACTTTTCTATCTTAAACATTTCAAATAAAAGGGTTATTTGTTTTGTGAGTAGATGTTATAAATTATGAAGAAATAAACTTTTAAGACATTAAATAAAATTTTATGAACTTGATAAGTCATGACATAGGGCATACTAATTTTGGATTACATTTGATAAATATTCTAAACAATATATTTGTACAGGTTAAGTAACAAATGAATTCTGTTTTTTAGCTCGACTATTCGAAGAATATGAGACTATTGTAGTTCCCCGCGGCGTCGGCGCGGTCCGCGTCCGCGTCGGCGTCTGAAGTTGGTTAAAGTTTTTTGTAAAGTCAAATATCTCAATTATTACTTGAGATATTCAATTGAAACTTACAATACTA